TTGTGAAAACCTGCACACTGTGAGCATTAGGAGACTTATGGTGATAAGTGTGTCGGGGTGGCTTGGGTGGCAAAAAAGTTAAATAACAGTTAAATAAAACTCTATTTGAGAACAACTTCAAAACTTCTTGTTTTTTAAGATTCAAAACCAAAAGTATCTGCAGACTTCGAAGATCTGTTATCTGGTCAAGGTTTTAATGCTCACAAGGACAAGAAAGGACCCAAAACAATAGCTGAGATGAGAAAAGAAGAAATGGCTAAGGAGATGGACCCTGAGAAATTAAAAGTAAGCTATATTGTTGGTGGTTATGCTCTTGCAATCATTCCTTCTCATCATGCTGCTTGCACTATTGCCCCTGAAGGGTGGAGGGGGTTAGGAAGTGACGAGCCTTCCTGAATGTGAGGAGGCAGCTGAGCAAATCTTCCAGACCTTCTAGTGCCAGAAGCTATTAATCTCCCTGGTTTAGCACTTCATCTATTGGACATTCTCTGCTGCATTGCTGGATCCTTAGTACCCTTAGTACCAGATGGTCTCTCTCATGCTTGCCTTCCATAAGGTAGGTTCTAAACTTGATAGCATCATAAACTGCTGTGCTTCTCATTCATGTAGCAGACAGTTAATGTGACCAGAAAGACAAAACAAAGCCATAAACTGTAGGTATTGGAGAACAACTGGAAGAATCTCCATCTCATCAGAAATAATTTTTTTTTTCTATTTAGCAAAAATAAATTTGAACAAACTCTGGTCTGTAGTAGCTTCTTAATTGGTATTTATCTGGTACAATAAAATGGTTTTTAATATCTCTGCTAGCCTGCAAAACTCAGGTTTTGGTTAAATGAGTGATAGTCTCCCTCTTTCAAGGAGCAATATAAAAATTAAGACAAAGGACACAGACTGACAAATACCTTCCAATGGCTTTCTAAAGCTTGGAAAGAAGTGTCGGCTGCTCCTTGGAGTCATTTCTATTCAAATGGAGCAACTCTTTTCCTATGGGAACATGTAATATAAGGCATAAGCTGAGGATTCTCATTCTTCTCTTCAGGTCCTAGAATGGATTGAAGGGAAGGAGAGAAATATAAGAGCCCTGCTGTCCACAATGCACACTGTCTTATGGGCAGGGGAGACCAAGTGGAAACCTGTTAGTATGGCAGATCTTGTAACACCAGAGCAAGTGAAGAAGGTCTACCGGCGGGCAGTACTTGTCGTTCATCCCGACAAGGTAAGGTTTTCTTTGCTTCATCTTGTTCAGAAGCATTCATTTTTCTCAGAAACAAGGTGAACAAAGTGTTAAATGTTTGCACCAATAAATTAAGCTAGCACAACTTTGGAGAAATATTCTAGCTGAAGAATTTGGCAAGTTTTTGAAAAGCGAGAACTCTGACTAACCAAGCCCAGCCCCAAGTCTGTGCTTGGTGCAAGCCTCTCCAAGCAACAGGGATTCACACCTTCACGCCTTCCTTACCCTCACTTTGACTCTGAGCCATAGTGTCTGGACAGCAGTTCAGAATGTTGTGCCTGCCACAGGAAAGTGTGGTGTGATAAAGGCATATGGAAGGACAGAGGCCTGAAAATCATGCTTCTAAAATGGAAGAATTAGGTTATCCAATTATCAAACTTGTCTTATGGTCTTGCTGCTCACACGTGCCAGCCAGTGTGCAATGAAGCAATCTGGGAAACCCTACAGTGATGAGGCTTACAGCATTAAGCACCTGGAGGGCCTGAGGTTTTCAGGGCAATGGGCAAGACTTCAGAAGATGTGGGCTGCACAGAAGCTTGCAGGGATGCTGCAAGCAGTTGTGTCAAGTGGCAGCTCTGTCATTCAGTGCTAGTAGAATGCCTCTTGTGAAGCTCAGATGAAAATTATTCCCTCTTGGGGCTGCAGTGCTTCACCATAAACTTGGGGGGGTTATCTGCCCTGAGGAGCTGAGCAGCTGAAGAATGAAGAAGTTCTTAAGCTGTAAAGCAGGTAAGCAGCCCTTGGGAAGAGTAGCTTATTCTTGTCAAATATAACTGACAGCTGTTTGCTGAAAGTAACCTGTAACTGCTTGAGATTCTAGCTGTTTAAATGTCACTTTTATGTAGTCTGACTCAGTAGATATGATATCCCTTTTTCTGTTTTTGTTCCAGGCTACAGGGCAGCCATATGAACAATATGCAAAGATGATATTTATGGAGCTAAATGATGCCTGGTCAGAATTTGAAAACCAAGGACAAAAACCCTTGTATTAGGTATTTTTTTTTTTCAGTCTCCACTGCAGACCTGTGCTAGTGCTTGTATAGTCTCTTGTCACAAATGTCACAGATCAACCAAGCTCCGGCTGGGAATTCAGATGTTTCAGAAAGTTGTGAGCCTAATACTTATCATGAAGATCAAGACAAAGGTTTCCTTATACTTGTATCAAGAATCTTGAGCCCAGAGGAACTCTAGCTGTGTGGCTTGCCATGTGAGAGCCACGGGGTTACAGTTTCTTGTAACCTTTTTTTTTCTCCCCGTAGATTCAAGTGGGGTGAGAGAGAACACATTCTGGGGAAAAAAGCAGAATTGTTTTGTCTCTGACACTGTGTGGCTGTTGAATTTCCTACTTTTGTGTGAATTGTGATATGGCAACACTTCAGTTGAGTTCAGTAACTGGTGGTGAAGCCCAAACCTCAATGTACTTTCTTCCTAGGTTTGAATCAAACTTTATCAAATTTAGGTGCTCAGATGTGGTTTAGGCACACTTCTAACAGTCACTGTTTGCTGCTTAATTGCTCATATAGTATGCCTGAGTAGAGACAAAGCTGAATCATGGGTAGACCAGTGTGGCAGCTTATTGCTGCTTCACGCACTAATACTGTACTTCACCTCACAGTCGAGCAGTGAAATGTGCAGAAGAAATTCTACAGCACAGTGTCTTTAAAGCAAACAAGAAGTATTTGATGTTTAACAGTACCTTGATGGTTTGTTAAACAGCAGTTTTGGGGGAACAGTGAATTGGGAGAAATGATTTCCTCCCCCATCTGTAAAAGTGAAGAGTAAGCATGTACTAATCTCCAATGAAGTTATCTTTAATAGCTAAAGCCATCAAACAAATAAATGTTGACAATTAAAACCCTGCTGCATCAGTTGAAGTTTTGGAAAATTTCCAGACGATGGGTAATATTTCTGCTTATGAAGATTCAGAAGTTTGCTTGCATCACCTCTATGCCTTTAGCAGCTCCAGAGCACTTGGCAAAGGCTCTCGACAGAATGCGGCTTGTTGCAACTTCACTGTTCAGACCACAGTGGTGTGGAAGCTGCCTTGTAGGCATCTGTGGACCAGGTCTGATCTTTGAGGTAAATATAGTCCAACTTACCTTAAAGCTTTTATTGGTCCAAAGCAATAATAGTCACAAGGGAGGTATCTCTGATGCTAAAGCTGGAGCATCTTTCCTAGTTAAAAAGCAAGTTATGCTCTTCACCCCAAATTCCAGCTTTCTCCTTTCGTAGGACAACTAAAGCTAGCAGTTTATTTACCAACAGATATCTGTGTCTGAGCTTTGCAAGCGCAGATATTCAGAAGACAGGCAGGAAATCATTCATACTTACCCTTTAAGGAAAAGGTTGATATCTGATGCGAATCTTTAAAGTTGGTATTTTTAAAGACAATCCACTTGTTGTTGCACTTAAATTTTCAAGTGGCAAAACTTTTACTGCAAAGACAGTGCGTCAAAGTACATTGCTCTCTGTATAAAAGTCATCCTTTTGTTGTATTGGTCCACTATTTACTACCATTAATTGAAAATGTGAAACCAACACATAGGTCTCCTTTTATATAAGGACCTTAAGATAATAGTAACAAACTGGATGTTATTTATTAATGTTTTGATCCAGTATGTGCTTGTCCTATTTAAAGAGATAACTGGAATGTGAATCATGTTCCTGTGATTTGTTGGTTTATTGTTTCTCATTCACATTTGTAGAAATTGTGACCTATGCCTATATAATAAAAAGGATCTCATTACTATAATGTACTTTTTTAATAATGAAAATGACATTAGCTTTGTATCAGGTCTGTCATGGCAAACAACTCTGGATACTCATACATTCACAAAATAAATTCATCATTAAACTGTATCTACCAAAAGAAACCCTACCCCACTTAAGCTTTGATTACTCCCATCCCTAATGTTTTTATGGATGCATGAAAGTATTAGGACGTATGTATATCAAAATAGTTAACTAAAAAAAAATTCTTGTCATATCTGGTAGTGACAGAGGTTATCAACGTTCAGGTAAACTGACTAAACTATTGTAATTTTTGTAAATACAGTATATACTCAATGAAATTGTGACTGGTCTAAAATATTTGTATATACATTAAAAAGCTCAAATTAATATATTCAGGTATGTTTTGTGCTTGGAGGGGGGGCAGGGGCCACCTCTACCACGTTGCTTTACACGCAGTCGAGGGAAATGTCTCTGTGTATGCTGCGTGAGCAGTGACGCAGGCATTAAACGGAAACTTCTTCTGTCCACAACATTTTTAAAGAGGACTGATACATCTGTCAGCTGCTCCAGTGCGGGGTTCGGCACATAAGCGTAACCACAGGTTACTTGCTCTAGAAACACTGGGGTTTTTTTGATTTTTTTTTTTTTGATTTCTTCAAGCAAACACACCAAGTGAAGAAGCTAGAAGCACGGGTTAAAGGAAGGGTAAAAGCTTAATTCATACAGAGCAATTTTGCAATGGGGGAAAAACGCAGCCTTTTTTGCTTAAGGGGAAAAAATAAAGAAATTAACACTTAACAGTTTTAAAAGGGTTCAACTCAAAGAGTGTAGAAGCAAACCACCTCAGCTGTGTATTTATACATTTATTATTGCTGTAGGCCTAAAGGGCATCTACATTAGCAGCAGCTATACCAAGATGCAACCTTGTATTTATTACAAAAAACAACTAACTGAAAAATCTGAAAAAAAGGTTTTTTTTGGCGCGTTGCCTGATAACCCAAAGCTTTGCCCCAACCTTAGGCCCGTAACCATGGCGACGGGCCCTTCGGCGTGACCCCCCCCACCCTCCGCGCTCTTAAAG